ATCGCATATTTATTCATTGCACTTGTGTTCTTGTATGTACAAGAAATAGAAGACAAATTTTAAGATCTACGCTTAGCTCAAGAATGAGCCGAGCTTAGATATCCTCAATGGAGGAAATCCGTAGAAAAGTTATCGACACCGACGTTGTAACTGCACGTCGGTTTAAAATTGGATTAATAGAGAAAGAATCACGCGATCGCTGAAAGACGCGGGGATGCAGCTTAACATCTTCTTATCTAGAAATTTTTCAATCTCGCGAGAGCCACTTGCGCGAGAAGTACGGCTCACGATAGCGGAAAATGAATGCCCCGGCGCATAAGTGTATTCTCGTGTAGCAAAGACGGGGGGGGCGGGGGGTGTTAGTCATTCGGCCTCACGTGACTACGAACTTACATGTCGGTGGCGAGCACCGCGGCGCCCTATCTGGAATCTTTCAATTTCTCATACTTTCTACGTGCGAGAATCGAATCACGCTTGCCGATCGTGCGCTTATACGCAAGATTCGAAACCAGGCTCGATAGCGCTTTATATTTGTAGTCACGTGCGGGAGGATATCCAGGAAAAAGGCGCTACAAAAATTTGAAAGACCCCCGAGGCGCAATATGTTAAGATAAGTATAATGCACAACAATATTTATGACTCGGCGGTAAGGCCATAATCGTACCGTGCTTTGAAACTTTACGGTTTTTCTTTCCATTTTTTTCAAGGAGAATGCGTGCTCCCGCTCTCATTATTTCGTAATCTTCAGTTAAGTCGCGGAAAACCGCAATTTTGAATTCCGCCGCGTACATTTCGCATGCACGCGTATTAAGTCCGTCCCGGCATATAAAAGCGTAATTACTGTAATATTCAGTAAATACGCGTACAATCCAAACAACGAAACTCTCGGTAAGCTAATCATCGATCGACTCGTATTACGTGAATTACAAAATTGCTTGTAGAAATTAATTAACATAGTTCAACATAGCTAAGTTCTGCAAATGAAATTTAATAATGCAATATACGTAAACGTCTATTAGAGCTAATTTCGGGGTTCGTTTATTTTAATAAAATCAATTTCGAAATACCTCATAAAGTTACGCTAAGTATGTTTTCGAAATTAAATTAAATTGCAAGCGGAATGGAGGGTCTTTTCCTTACATCTGAAACGTACTTTTTTAGAATAATGGAGGAAGACGGTTCCCTTTGTCGCCAAAGTAAACGCCGACTACTGCTAATTGCGGGATCACGTGCTTCGAGGTCGAGGGATGTATTCACGATAAGGACCTTGCATGGCCTTAACGAGACCCCTAGACGAGCAAATCCGACGAGAATCATGCGAGAAAGAACGCGCGTGCGATTAGCATCGAAGCGGCGAATATAATTTCGCCGGCTTCATAATTGTTTCACGTCCATTCTAATGAATAAAAAAAGACTGATATTTCTTTTTACGCGCGGGACACAATGATATATCTCTTACATCCCTAAGCGGTCGTGCAAATGAAACCGCAACAAGCCCGATAAAAAGATCGCGGAGGAGAGCTTTTTTTCCTCCCTCTCGGGTTCTTCCCTCTCGCCGCCTGATAGCCGGTTTTAATTCTCTTCGCCTCCCGCGCCGGAGAGTATAGTAATGACGGACATTAACCAATTAGCGCCGGCGCTGCCCTCCTCATCTTTCTCCGCCCGAGTTACTCCTAAACGGCCCGCAGAAAGACGTTCCAAAACGACCGACTATTTTCGGCGCCATATGCCCACGAAATATATCCACACGAGCGCCGGATCCACCGGGGCGGTTCGGTGAACCTTTAAAGCGCGGGCGGATATATTATTTCTCTGACGACTGCGCCTTTTTGCGCCCGAGCCGGTGTCCTTTGCGGATGCAATTAATCTCCACACAGTTTAACTCTTTGCCATGCCTAGACGCTCTCGAATATCGTATTTCGTTACTCCAAATTCTGCGCGCAGATCAATTCCAATTGAAATTCTATTCGTATTAACATTAACGTTGCCTCATTTATGAGTTCATGTTATCTAAATTGCGTTACATCGAGTTTCGCTAACATTTTTTTTCATGAAAATTATTCTAGAAAATACACCGAGTTAATTCCACAATCATGTTAATCACATAATTCTATAATCATGTTAAATAACTTTCGCATCATGTTTATGTCTGCATTAATATTAAAATAAAATTTTAACGAAGAGACTAGGTAAAACAAAGAAAATGTATCGATCAATTTTTCTCATTCACCAGGTGCAATAACTTTTTAAACCGAATATTAAAAAATGCATACCTCTGTAGGTACATTTTCTTATTATATTTCCTTCCTTTATATTTCCCTCTTACATCCCCTTCTTCTTTTATATCAAAGAAAATACTAAACTAAGGGGAATGGCAGAGATAGCAAAGGATTAAAGATGAATATTTCAAACATGCCGTCCCAGAAATATACGGGGCGATGAGACTGTTAACTAAATTACATGCAGATCGACTCAGAGAAATCTCATGATTGAAAGCATAAGTAATAGCTAAAAATGTATTTACCAGTTCAAAGCTCTGTGTGACGCCGAGACGCTTCTTTACTGATGGTTAAATATTCATGTACACCCCGTACTATGACGAGTATAATTGAATATTTATAGATGTTCGGGATAAAAGGTTCAAAGACTGTATTTCTATCGCGTATATTTCGTGCCCTTTAAACCCATTGAAAAATTATATGCGCCGGACGAACAAACCGGGGGATTCCGGGGCCGTATTTTATAATTTGGCACGCGTTGCACGATAGGCACACAATGAGCTGGCTGCACAAAGTGCCGTGCTCGATTTTTGGTCACAGACGAATTAAAAAAATGTTGTAAAAAAAAGAAGAATCGCGTAATAAATATATACCGCGACGTCATTGTGGGATACAAGCAGCTACTTTTATTCTTTGTATGACGGATACACAACGTTCGTTTGGCTCGCGTTAACTTGATTCCGACCTTGTTTCTCTTCATTCCGCATTAAAACAACCGCTCCTCGTGCTACGCAATATGCCCGCCCGCGCGCGCCTTCGCGCACTTTTTCGGGCGGAATCCAATTTACAACAAAATAACGTGAATTCAACGTGGACGGTGTTAATCAAGATTTCAAAACGCTTTGAAAAATTAATCGCGAAAAACATCCCCCGGTGAAATTTAATAATGCGCGCACGCACTCAACACTTTAATTAAAATTGTCGCGCATTACAGGTTTCGACAACCCCGTCGCGTTATCGCGCCGCGCCCCGCGTCTTCCGCGGCGTCTCGTCCCCCCCCCCTTCCCCGCAGGGGAGCCACCGGCCGATAATTTCTCTCGGCGCAGTGCTTCAAAATGTTGTATAAGTAGCGTGGTATATTACTCACCCCCAGCTAATGCGCCAAGTTACACCCCATCCGACGGGACACAGTTTGGAGGCCCACGGCCGGGCGGGCGCGCGCGCACACTCACACACGCGATAAGCCTGGGGCGGCGAGGGGTGACGAAGACCAGGTGGAGTTGGAGGATAAGTTAGGCTAGGTCACGTCAACGCCAGATTACGTCGAAGACGATCTACTTCTCCATCCGCTGAAAAGGATCCTCCTCCTCGTGAGCGCGCGAGAGGACATCCGTACGCGCGCGAATCACGGGCGTCCCGGCGCCGTCGGCTGGAGCATCCAACTCCGCCCTATATATTTCCTTTGAACGTCAGTCGGTGTACATTTGATCGGCCGGTGATCGTCGGCGCGCGGATCACGGATTCGCACGAGCGTCTTTTGAAAGAGAACGCGCCGCGCTCGATCTCGCGGGGTCAAGTGGGCCACTCTCGCGTCTCCGTCTTTCTCCTCCTCCTCCTCCCTGCCGAATGGAAAACGATCCGCCTTTATCGGATTTTTCATTCGCTCGAGCGTGCCGTCGTGCGTTTATGCGACGGTGGATGTCGGGGACGACGGCTGCGAGCTGCGACGACGACAGTTTCGCCGCGTCGCTCCATTTAAACGAGCGATGCTCTCGCGTGACAGCACCGGAGCGGCGCGCGGCTACACGGATTGCGTTGTACGTCAATCGTTCCGCGCGTGTTCCGACGAATAATTTATCATCGGGCAACGCGTATTGGCAGATTCACGATACTCTGCTCCTCTGATTCGGCCGCGGACGAGGGGCGACAATTAAAAATCGCGCCGCTTGGAATGCGCGATAATTCAAAATATCATCCGCGGGCTCGCTCGCACATACACACACACACACGCACTCTCTCTCGCTCTCTCTCTCTCTCCCCCTTTCACGCTTCGTATCTGTCAGCGCATCCGAGGCACAACGCTCGACAACGACGTACAACGTGGCGCGTCGCCTCGCATGGTAAGCTGACGTATGCGCACACGCACACAACGCGAGCCGCGAAATCGCGAGAGAGGGTAGCAGCACACCACCCTGTCCGATGCGCGGTTCGAGTACGACTGAGCGAGCCGACTCGAGCTCGGCGAGCCGAAAGCCACGAGCCGCGTCAACCAACCGGCGACGACGGACCAATCAGCGCTATCCTCCGCGCGAGCAGCCAGATACTCAATGATTGACCATATGCTCGCACTATCGTAGCGTATCCTCGTACGGAGCCTCACGTATAAGTGAGTCAAGGCTGAATTACACAAAGGGGATAACAATATCTTATTTAAGACTTGTTAATAGCTCGTTATGAGCTTCAATTAAATAAATTATTCAAGTTAATTGACAAATTTCCACACCTATCATTTTATTTTACAACGATTTTTACTGATGTATTTCGCTCTCACATTACCTCTCTCAATTTTAATACTCCCGACTCTGATTTGTTAACTTATTTATGTATTTAAAAAATCTGTTTATACTTGTTCCGTTAGATCACTTGAAAAGGACCATAAACCATGGTCGAAACGTTGTGAGCTTTAAACGTAAAAATTGCCAGACATGGTCAAGTAATTATTGAAGTTTTTTTCAATTGACAAACATTGTAGTATATCGTGGCAACTTTATCATATTAATTTTTTATTGTTATACAGAGTGATTATAAAGGTTTTGTATAAAATACAAGTATATAAATTTTTATACTCTTATAATTCCTATAAAATGTATATGCGAATAAAATATGGGAAGAACGTGAATAATAAATTTTTATCATTAGCGACTGAAATTTTTCATTTGTAATTTAAAGTATTAAATAGAATCTTTCTCAAAAATTAAGGCGTTTTACTATATTAGCTTTTTATTATTACACAGAGTGAATGTAAAGATTTTGTATAAAACGTAAGTATGCAGTTTTATACTTTTATAACTCCTATATAAAATATGAACTGCAAAGGATGAAAACTTTATTTCAATATTATTTTTAAAATTATTTCATACGTTTATTCTTGCTCTCTTAAAATTGATCAGTAAATTACCACTGAAAACAGTGAATGTTCACTGATTCACAATTATAAATATAGCACTGAATAATTTAGTGCCATACTTATAACTGTTTTCATTGATAATGTACTGATTAACTTTTAGAAAGTAGAATTATTTTACGACCGTCATTATACAAATCGTGTACAAGCCGAGATGAGTTCTACAAAATTTGTAGTAAATTTACAATAAACAAAATAATATGTAAAAGCCAATAATCGAACAGTTAAAATTTAACTTATTAAAGTTTTATTGTAATTGCGTAGACATAATCGTCTTCAGTAAAAAGACGAGTTAAATGTGCCGAAATAAATAGACGGTAAAATAAATTATAGTTAAAATTGACTAAAAAAATTACCTCAAACTGTTTGCGAATCTTGTTGTCTTCCATTTACAATAATATCCCGAGTTATACATATATTAGTTATCGTAATCCGCAAGATTATCCAGAGAGTGAAATTTTGTTAGAAATAGTTATGTACCCAAACAGAAATCCAATAGACTTAAATTGCCGGCCGAAAGATTAGTTTTTAATTAATCTATTAGGAAAATTATCAGAAGTATATCACCCTTAATATGTATATGTTAAAATTCACAAAGTTATTGTTTACGGACAAATTGGTATTGCGTACAACAAAAGAGCTATTTAAGAGTTTAAAACTACACAAGGACTTTACAATCACTCTGTATTGTTATAAATTGAGACAAAAAGTCGTCGTTGAATTTTATCCAAAGGGTAAAACCGTTGACCAAAATCACGTACACCAATTCCTACTAATACCCAGTGTGCATTACTTTAACTTATTATCTTATTTTATCTTTCTAATGCCCCAGCAAGGTCTAATGTCTAGTGATGCCCAGTAATGCCGCAAATCTGTACACCACAATGCCCTCAGCGGTTTACCCCTCAATTTTATTTTATGTTATGTAAGAGTCATTAGACTGTAGCTCGGCTTTACTTTCCTCGAAATTCGTAATCAAGTGGTATTATTACATCGTGATTCTCCATATTACGTATTTATATGTTATACGGTTTTCTTTTGCGTAAGTAAAAACGACTCGCGTGTGCAAGTCAATATCGAGAGTGCCGAATGAAGTACCGTGTGATCGCTTAGCCTGTTTCGCTGTGTGCGCGATCGTATTTCACGTTGGCATATTGCCGTACATTTCGAATGACCGACGCGCACATATAGTATGTACTTTGAACAGAATTTTAAGATATTACCGTATATTGCAATAACTGGTATAAATATACAAATACAAATATTTTTTTCATAAAAGACTCTCGTCCGGCGCTTCACTTGAAAAATATAAAATTTTCTAAAAACATTATATTGTATTACCAGGAGAAAATGTTTGTAATGGTTTTCAGGTTTGCTTCTGCACAACGCGAAAAATTGAATCGTACCATATTGAGTATGTTTCTCATGTTTTTATTTGCTAATCGAACGTGGAAATAAATGAGAGTACCGAGTGCAATATCGGGACGATATGATCGTAATAAAATAAATGATACGCAATAATAATAAATAAGATCGCGTGCATGCTGATATTATGCGTATATTTCTTTTAATATTTATATTCGTATAAGAGAGCATCTGTATGAAGTTGAAGTAAAAGAGTCTCGAGTAGAAGTTGGTACAAAGGATGAAACAGCTGACGGCGATACACCAGCTGGAGAGTAAATTTATTCGGTGCATGCAGATGATTTAATTATAATTTTGCTTTAGCGAATGAAAAGTAGAAGTTGTGCAATCTTGAGAAACAATAAATTTTATACGAATATGAAATCCTCTTATATAAACGAAAGCGTAAAGTTATTTTGGAATAATGTAAGAAAACAATTCGACGCTCTAAATATTGTTTTAGCAAATTAAAATTAATATCACGAGCTTATTATTTTGTATTCATATTTACTTTGCATATAAAGCGTTCGAAATTATTTTTACTACACATTATCTCAGTTTATTCGAGTTGTCCTATCGATTTAAATGTTAAGTTTAATCTGATATTATTAATTTTGTTTATATATTTTTTACGTTACATTAATATTTAAATGTTTTATTAGTCTTTAATTTCGCTGCAATCCGGTACGTACTTATAGAAGTTATTTCCGTGCGCGACAATTAATTCATCTCTCTTATATTGAGCGATATTCTTTTCACTGATTTAGGAATTAGATTAATCAGATAGAGTGTGGAATAAGTTCGAATTGGCTTGGCGTGCAGTAGAATTGAATACTGAATATCGTAATCAATAGAAAACATTTCGAGAGATAACGTATAGATTAGATATGTATTATCAGGGTTGGGAAGTAACTCGATACAGTTACAGTTACTTCTTTTTGGCAACTCTAACTTAACTTCGTTACTTTTTCTCCATCTGTAACTGTAACTTAACTTTGTTACATTTTTTCGAAAACTAGTAACTAATTTAATAGTTACATTAATAGTTACTTTATATATTTTTTAAACCTTCACTTAATCGCATAGGTCTTGCCTTTGCGTATGTGCTTCCCTAGAAGAACAATTCATTGGCTAATATTGGTTAAACATTGGTTATGTTGGTAGTGAATTAGCCAATATTTCCCCAATTGGTCATAAAATAAATGCAAATATACTACTGATATTGTACCTAGATGATGATTTAATATTGGATTGATTGTATTAGCAAGATTGTCCAATAAAATTGTAATATTCGATATAGAATAAATGCTAATGTAACGCCAATGTTACGTATTAATAATTGCACGGTACTGTGTTTATATTGAAAGTACAATGCAAAAATATGAGGCCCTCCACCACCCCCGCCAATTTCGATCGGCGGTCCTCTTTCTTTTACAATAATCATTTTCTTTTGACATTTTTATCCTTATTATATTTTCATCACAATTTTATATTATAATATATTATAATATAAAACATGTAGCTATGTCTACTCTTTAAAAGTCAATCAGTGGATTATGACAGAAAAGAGTGAATACCTACTGATTCGCAGTTACAAGTATACCACTGAATAATTCAGTAGTTATAACCGTTTTCAGTAATAATTCACTGATTGACTTTTAGAGAGTAATATGTAACATTGTTTATAAATGTGCAAATAAAAATCGTATTGTAAATGCTCAAACGAAAATCTATCGCATAAAAGATTATTTTAGACCAACTTAAAATTTCATACAATAATAAAGTTAATCTAAAGAGGCCCACCGCCGCCCCCGCTGATTCCAATCAGCGGTCCTCTTTTCTTTACAATACGATTTTTAACATTTTTATTATTTCTCTTTCTTCATACAATTTACAAAACATTCAATGTTATAAAAGAGATCAATATACAATACAAATTAAAAAATATCATGTAAAATATAATTAGATACAAATTATACATGATATTTTTTAAATGAAATTGCCCATGAAAATTCGGTCTGCGTACAATAACACGAAATCTTTACACGTGCTTATTGCGTAATATTTTTTACCAATTACCGAA